TTTTTCCCCCTCCTCAGGGAGGCATGAATGGAATGAGGTTTGTCCCTTTGCATTGGCTAGAATATGGGTGTGATGGTGGGAGCAAGAGCAGCCATTTTTAGGCCATGAGAAAGAAACCATGTATTTCCATAAAAAGCTAAAAATCACGTATTGGAGGATAACGAAGCAGTAAGAATGTGTGCCCCTCCATGCATGTCCTGGCCTGTTTACAGAGAGTGTCATGCAACAAATAATTATCTCCTTATTTTGACTTTTGTTTCAACAGCGAAGCCCAAATTCCAAAGAATATAAGGCGGATTGCTTTGGATTGGGTGGCTAGACGAGGTGACATCTGAACAGAGATCTAAATAAGGGAGGAGGCAGCCTTGGGGGGGCGGGGAATCTGGATAAACAACATTGTAGGGAAAGAAAAGTAGGTGCAAAGGCCCTGAGGTAGATAGAGACACACTTGGCAAAAGTGCAGGGGGAAAACGTAGGCCAGGGTAGTTGGAGAGGTAATCTTAGCAGGGCCAGATCGTATGGGGCAATCTGCCCCTGTGCAGGGTGATTTCATGCTAATTGCGACAAGAAGGGTATCCCAAAGGGAGGTGACAAGGTCCCAATTTGTGCCTACCGTGGCTGCCAGGGAGAATGGTCTCACACAGAAGAGTGGAGAGAGGGAGACCCTCAGGAGCTACTCTAACCCTCCGGATGAGACACAGGCTCAATTAGAGGGAGCAGTGTGGACGGAGCAGAGGGCCACCCCACAAGGGTTCTCATCATTACCCTGCTTCAAACCCCCCGCCACCCTGCGATTTAACATGGCTGACTCCACCCCTTCCCAATGCCAGGGAATGTGCACGTGACCTCAGGCTGGCCAATCAGGAAGCTCCATCTCCCTGACCAATGAGAATCTGCCCTGAGACTTTTGCAGTCAGTACCCGGAAGTGGAGACTCCAGAAACCCAAAGGCCTGAAAAACTCCAGCTACCATCGTCTGATTGACAGGGCTTGGACTTCTGGCTCGGCCCCATGCTTGCTGTGTGACCTTAGGTGAGTCACCTCCCCTCTCTGGGTGTCACAGGGATAATAACACCCACCTGGCAAGGTTGTCTTAAGGATCAAACAAAACCAGACCCATAAAATGTCCACAAAAGCCACACACAAAGAAATGGCTGCTTCTCTTACCAGGGAAGAAACTTGGGGGGTGGGTCAAAGGAGAAAGGGGTCTCTTTGTGGGCCCAGGGGCGTCCCTTCTGAAGCCTCTGTTGCTATGGAGCCTGAAGCAGGCCTTATCAGATGCTCTTTCTACATGGAGTCCCCTGGTAACAAGTAGGGACAAGAGTGTGGCCATTGGACCTGTGTCTCTTCCGCTGACCACACTGGAGTTCTGTGCTGTGGGCCATTCCAGAATTGTCATTATGTCCCAAAGCTGCTAAAATAACTAAAAAAAGTGATTTTTATTTTATTTTATTTTTTTTAAATACAGCTGGGCGCAGTGGCCCACGCCTGTCATCCCAGTGACTCAGGAGGCTGAGGCAGGAGGATCGCAAGGTGGAGGCCAGCCTCTGCCACTTAGCGAGGCCCTGAGCAGCTCAGCGAGACCCTGTCTCTAAATAAAACACAAAATAGGGCTGAGGATGGGGTTCAGGGGTCAAATGCCCCTGAGTACAATCCCCAATGCCAAAAAAATTTAAAAAATAAATAAAAAAGGGACATATTTCTTTCTTTTCTTTCTTTCTTTCTTTTTTTTTTTTTAAATCTAATCTTCTTTTACTAAACCTCTCCTCCCTGATCTTCTTCCCCTTGACCTTCTCCTCCCTGGTCTCCCCGCCCTAGTCTCATTTTCTCTGAGTCCCCTCTCCCTGGTGATGGGCAGAATCATAGCCTCTGGGACAGGAGGCTCAGATTGCTGTGTGACCTTAGGTGAATCACTTCCCCTCTCTGGGTGTCACAGGGATCATCTCTCCTTAGCTAGCAAAGCAAGAAGCCTTCTTTTTTTCTTTTCTCAAAACCTCCTTAATGGATTGGCAACTGGAACAAGGACCCAGGAGCACGCTCCCGGTGACACTCCTACCGAGGGGCCCAGGTGCTTGCTTGTCCTCTAGCCAGCCCACAGGTCCAGGTCTCGTCATCTGAGTCTCAGCCTTGTCATTACCTCCTTTGAGAAAGCCACCTTAACTATGTCTCCCGGGCCACCTCACCTGGGTTTTGTTTACAGGGCCTGACCTCCTTTCCAAGCCTTCCTAAGTAGGGCAGAGTGCTTGGGGAGGCTGAGGCAGGAGGATCGCCAGTTGGAGGCCAGCCTCAGCAACTCAGTGAGACTCTGTCACTCAATAAAAAGTTTTCAAAAAGGGGGCTGGGGACGGGGCTCAGAGGTCAAGCACCCCTGGGTTCAATTCCCCAGGACCAAAGTGGAAGTGGGGGGAATGCCACAGTGGCCCTGGCTGTGTGTCCACACGGCCCAGTCCCCCAGAGCAGAGAGGGTACAAAGTAGGTGCTCAATAAAACGTGAGGACAGGCGCGACTGACAGCTGGGGCTGCGGGGAGAGGGGGGTCCCCCCACAGTGCCCAGCGCGCTGAGAGGTGAGGGGGCACTCAGTCTGCCATCGCTGGCCACTCGCCTGTGACCTCGGTCCCCTGGGGGTAGAGTCCTTGGCCTTCCAGGTGTCCCTTGGCCTTTACCCAGAGTTGACTTATAAACAGTGCAGGCCTCCTCTGGGGGCAGGTGCTGCCACCGTGTTTATGCACAGGGACGCTGTGACCCTTCAGCGTCCCTGCCCGACCCCTCCTCTGTCGCTGTCCCCAAGGGTCCCCAAGTCCCCTCTGCCCTCTTCCTGTAAATCACCTCCCCCCCAGAGGCCTCTCTCAAACTTCCCCAAAGCTCCCGGGTGAGGCTGAGCCCTGAGTGGGACGGGGACCTTCGTGGGGGACCTTCTTGGGGACAGGTGGGCCACTATCCCTACAGGAGGAGGGAGGACTTCGTGCCAGGCTGGAGGTGGCAGGAGGTGGGGAGAGGGGTCGCCTTCTCACCTGAGAGCCCCGGGTCAGCGCTCAGGCCTGGCCGCCCGGGCCGCCCATCCACTGTCGCCGCCTCCGAGTGCCAGGACCCAGCTCAGGCCCAGGGGACTCCGAAGGCCAGGGTCGGTGGCAGGGGACGGGGAGCGTCGCGCAAGAGTCTCGGAAGCCGGTTCCACGCGAATGGGGGGCGGTGGGCGAGGTGGGACAGATGTCACCAGCGCGCGGGGCCCGCCAGCCCCGAGGACACCGGGCAGCCCTTCCCAGCAGCGGCGACCCAGAAAGCCGGAGCGTGTTTTCCGCCCATTCGAAGCTGCGAAAACATCCACAGTCCCTACTTGAAGCACTCAGGCCCGCCCCCTCGGCCCTCGGTAGCCAATCGGGATACACCTCTTACCGAAACGAGCGGAGGCGACCAATCAGATCTCTAAGAGGCGGGGCGCCCCGCGAATCTCTTAAAGAGACCGTACCGGGCCGCCGCGGGGAGGGCGAAGCTGCTGGCCGGGGCTCACCCGGAAAGCGGTGCGGAACCGCGGGCTGGAGGACAGACGGCCACCCGCTTCCCCACCCACCGCGCCTGCAGCTGTCAGCAGCTGTCAACCGACCAGATCGCCGCCAGCCGGCCACTTCCCCCAGCCAGGGTGGCCGCCTTTGGACGGTCCAGGGCGGAGCCTCCAGGGACCGCCCTCTCGCGTGCCACCGCCCCAGGCGCCCAGCACTGGTGACCTCTGGTCACCTGCCCGAGGAAGGAAGGGCAGGAACGTCCCTCCCTCTGCACGACGCAGTTCCCCCAGCGCGGCCCGCCACCTCAGCGTCCCAGCCACTCCTCCCAACAACCCCGCGGCGGGAAAACGGAGGCCACTCAACTAGGAAGCCACCAAGCTGGGACACCAATTTTTATATCATTTTACTTGGGGGGGGGACACCAGGGATGGAACCCAGGGGCGCTTAACCCCGGAGCCCCCTCCCCAGCCCTGTTTTGCAATTTATTTAGAGACAGGGTCTCCCTGAGTGGCTCAGGGCCTCGCTCAGTGGCTGAGGCTGGCCTCCACTTTGCGATCCTCCTGCCTCAGCCTCCCAAGCCGCTGGGATGACAGGCGTGGGCCCGCCTAGCACCCCTCTTGACCACCTCCATCATGTTGGGGGGTTGGCCCCCACCACAAGAGGATGAATAATCCCTCTCTTCACATACTCGGGGTCACTTTTCCTACCCTGTCTACTTTTCTGTGCCTCATGGGTGAGCGGGCCTGGCTGAATTCACCTGCCTAGTGTGGACTGATCCTCTGGGAGGCCACAGATACTTGGGGTGTGGCCTTCCATCTGGCCACTCCCCTCTTCTATCCCTATCAGGAATCCTTGGCATTTACAGGAACGGATCAAGGTGGCCAGGGCGGTCTTGCCCCAGGCCCTGGGGGGACTGGACCACCCTTTGCTAATCTGAAAGACTCTAAACCACTGCGTGACATTCTTCTGAGCCTTGTTCTGGTTGACCCTGTGGATGTCACTGAGCTCATCAGGCTGGATGACCGAGGGACTAGTGAACGGGGGACTTTGAGAGAGAGGAGCTCCAGAAGGTAGAAGATCAACCGTAGGAAGAATGAGGGACTTGTCCCAGCGGCTCAGGAGGCTGAGGCAGGAGGATCACAAGGTGGAGGCCAGCCTCGGCCATTGAGCAAGGCCCTGAGCCACTCAGCGAGACCCTGTGTCTCAATAAAATAGAAAAAGGGGCTGGGGACGGGGCTCAGGGGTGAAG